TATCAAAAAATTTTTGCATAGGAAAGGAAGCATTCTTTACAAAATAGCAAACGTTGTTGGATTACTGCAACTGCTTTTTACAACATTACCCTAAATTGCAGATTATAATTTATAATATAGGTTGTTGTTGTTATTAGTAGTAGTAGCATTAGTATTACTTTAAACTATATAATTTATACTGTTTGGTTACAACTGTTACTTGCGTAAGCAATACTAGGTGACCAAGTGATCGTTTGCATTAGGATATGTGCATTCCTTGGCTATGCAGTAAGGCTGGCAAGTTGTTATAGGTGAGTAATGGGATGATTGCCTCTTGCAATTAAGAGATGAATATTGTGTGTATGTTAAGAGAAGCTTTATTGATGTATAGTTATGTTATTGTGGTTCATTGTTTAGATGTCCTCTGTTCTCCCGATAGTGCCCTTTCACCCCCTCTGTATTGCTACCACCGGACAGCCTGGGCTGTGCAGAACATGTGGAGAGAAGGCATGTATCTGGGGCATGCCTTTGTATGGGGCAGTTGGGAATGGGGAAAGGAGGGCATGGCATGACAACACCTGACTTCCAATGAAGTTACAAAAAAGTCTCCACCAATGGATGGTGAAGACTGACAGACTTTAGGAGGGGTCAGCATTGCCTAATGCAACCCCCAGGGGTATAAAAGGCAAGCAGCCATTTTTATGGACGAGTTCATGGCAGGCGGTCACCAAGTCCTGGTGTGCTGTGCTTTTTCCTTATTCAGTCCTTTGCTGTATTTTTTTAAGGTTTCATAAACCTTTGAAAGTGAGAGTAATTTCTCATAAAGTGATGCCCAATTACTTAAAGTCAGGAAAGAAATGCAAATATTTCAATTAAAACAGAATTTCAGGAAGATACTACTGGTGGATTCAGTCTTACAGAGACTTAGTAAATCTTATGAACAGTTTTCTATTTTCACTTTTCTGATATTTCCACACTTTCATGTTTATGACCATCTCAATAGTCAATAAATTTTTCTTGTGGGTCTGTCATATTTTTCTTTACTCACTATCACTTCAGGACCATTCACATGTTCCACAGCAACTAAACACTGGTAAGTACTGAGCAACGTTATGATTATTGAGGTCCATATTTACTGAATTCTGCCCAAGACTATATCCAGGAAAACACATCAACTCAGAGAGTAACAAAAATAGTAAGTCTAATTACTTTCTGTAAGGCAATTTAAAACCCAATATCTCCAAATCTCATAAAACAAATTCAAATGTGCATAAGATTATGTGAGGGAGTGAAAAAGCCAAGGAAACTGTGTTGGCTTTCCACAGCCTGATTTTTGGTAGAGGGCGGGCCACAAAGATGGCTCCTGTGAGAAGTTGCTGAAGCTTCCACCGTGTCCAGAAGAGCCAATCCCTGATTGCTCTGAAGATGGACATGCTGCTGGCCAAACCTGGGCCAATGAGAGAGGCTGGTAACACCTCTGTGATAACACATTTAAGAAGAAAATTAAAACAAGTGGGTGCAGGTTTTTTTAACTAGCAAGAGAAGAGGAGAGGATGAGAACATGTGCGGGAAACAACATGGCGACACCAAGGTCAGTGCAGAAGGAGGGCAGGAGGTGCTCCAGGCACCAGAGCCGAGATTCCTCTGCAGGCCGTGGTGAGACCACGGTGAAGCAGCTGTGCCCCTGCAGCCCAAGGTGATCCCTGGGGATACAGAGATCCACCCACAGCTCATGGGGGAGGTGCCCACGCTGGAGCGGGTGGATGTCTGGAGGCTGTGATCCAGTGAGAGACCAGTGGAGAGAGAGGGCCCTGCTTCCAGGCTGGAGAAGCCTGTCCTTGGAGGACTTCACCCATGGAGGGTGCACACCACAGCAGTTTTGGGAGGACTGTGTGCCTGTGGGAGGGATTCACATTGCAGCAGCTTTGATAGGGCTGCTGAGATTGGAGCCACGTTGGAGAAGTTAATGGAGAACTTTCCCCTGTGGGAGGGACCCCATGGTGCAGCAGGGGAAGGACTCCTCTCCCTCAACAGTGGAAGATCCTGGGTGACAAACTGAGCAAACCCCCATGTCCTGTTGCCCTGGGCTGTTGGTGGGAAGGAAGGAGGGGTGGAAAAGAGATACAGGAATAGAGAACAATAGAAAAAGGGTGGGGGGAAGGGGGGGAGGAGGAAGGGAGGGTGAGCAGAAAGATGGAAAGAAGAAAGGAAGACAGGTAGAAAATCTAAGCTGTTTTTCAGCCATACTGAATTTTAAAGAGTTGCAAAATTTAAAAATGCACAGGGCCTTTCTTTCCACAGAGTAAGAATCATCAGAGACAAGTACGACAGATAGATAGCAGGGCACTAATGAAGACTACAGAGATATTCTGCCATTGACTTCACTTCTCCCTACATAATTCTCTTCTCTATAAGCAGTGTTTCCAGTGTTCATCTCACCTCTGTCCATCATAATCATATCCCTTCTTGTTCCTCTCTGTTAGCATTAGCATGACCACATATAGCAATCTCAGAATCTAAACTCTATTGACTAGAAGGAAAGTGCTTGGACGAGAAATGGAGTGGAGGATGGAGATGTCACTTCAGAGTCTAAGATAAAAGATGAGGAGTTAGAATGAACAATTTTGCCTCATGGCACCAGTTTTCTTTTTAAAATTATTAGCAAAACCCTAAGCAGCAGAAGAGAGAAGTGGTGTAAACAGAAATAAAGGTGACATAGTTATGAAATTTCAGTAGAAACAGGTCAATTAGGAAAGCAATAAACATGGAAAATATCAATACTTATGAATGGACCAAACTTGCATGCAATGCAAGGCAGGGCAAGATCCTTAAGCAACTAGCATAAAAGACATCAAGAAACAACCACAACATGTGAGACAACCCCCAATTTGATAAGGTAAGAGTCCACATATGATACACAACTGGAAGACTTTAAAAATGTATTTCAGTGCTGAGCAGTAGTTACTCTTCAGGAAGCCCAAACATATGTCATATGAAAGCCTGCAACCAATACGGTCCAAGTGCTGCATTTGCTGCCTCCATGTAAAATTTTGTCTGCAATGGATATATGGTTGAAGACAGTGAATTAAAACTAACAAAGCTAGTCTAATTTTGAAACCAAATATGTGTTCAAGAAGTCATTGCTCCCTTTCAATTAAAAAAGAAAAAAAAAATCTGTTCTACTCTTTTTACTAGAAAAAGCAATTCAGTGCAGAACTTTTCCTCAAAATCAAACCAAAACATTATCAACTAGAACGTTTAAAATCTAAGTCACACTGCAAAGCTGTGATGCCTGAAGTTATTAAAATTCATGCTTAATGCAACTTTTACAAATATTAGGGACAAATTTACAGAAAACCCAGATACTACAAAATATACCATAATCACTTTTTCATGGCAACTTGAGATTCTCATTCTGAATGTTTTCACTTTTACATTAAAATTTTAAAACGTTTCATATTAATGATTAGGCTTAGATTCAAATTAAACTTTATCTAAAGGAAGAACTACTGTTCTCCCCAGAGGGCTAAGAGATCACTCCACAATGCAAATAGTATCATCTTTACATTGACACTGCATGCAGACACAAACTACTTAAAAAACATTGCATTTACAAATGTTGGTTTTTCACTGTAATGTATCAGGCCACTGCATACCCTTCACAGACAGGACTAGCATAATCTTTGCTAGAAGCTCTGTCAATGCAAATGAAAGCAAACCTTGCTGCAAGTTTGGCAGACTTGCCAATCTTTAGTAAAAGAGGTGGTCATCTTGAATTGAACAAGAAAAACAACCATAACAGGCTAAGGAGAAGTCCAGTTACATTGGGCACATGCTCAGCAGGAGACATATATAAACATAGCAGAAGACATCAAAAGAGTCTGGTTGGAAGAGGAGAAAAGCAATTTCAGTGAACTAATTTCATTTCTTAGAAAGGTTGTGTAATCAGAAATAAACAAAGTTTTCATTCAACAATTGTCACCTCAAGATGTTAAAATTCAAATTCAGCATTGATTAATATAGTTTATATTTGCACCAACTTCCCATTGTGCTGTTAGAAGTAGGATAAGAAATGAATATAAATAACCAAAGCCAAAGCCATAGTCACAGCCTTTGAATATATGTTTACTATTGTGTTTATGTCATTTGCATTGTGACAACTGTCTTACAGATCTGTTTCAAAAAGAAAGACAAACAATGCTCATTTTCTTTATGGCTATTTACTACACAAGACTAAAAGAAAAGACAGTAGGAAGGGAAGAAGAAGAAGAACAGCAACAACCAGCACCACCACCAATAAAATGAACTCCAAAGCCTTCTCCTTTATCCTCTGTGGAAAACTAAGAAGAGATGGGGAAGAAATACGCTGAGTGTATGTAAGTTTCACATACTACACAGTCTCATTCTAGAGATACTTGGCTACATATTTATGACAGTTTATATGTCTGGCCTCCGGCCTCTGTGACAAAAATAAATCTGCATTTAGTAATTCCCCTAGAGAGAGATCTCAAATCTGAAGACCCACCTTATTAGCCTTAAGCAAATCCAAGCACTTTTGTGTGCAACAATATTTTTAGATCAGAAATTATTCCTGAAATTATCTTTGCATGCTTACTGAGAAGTATTATTCATAACCACAATTGTCTAAAAATAATTCAGATCTCCTAAGAAACAGTTTGATTACATGAAGATAATAACATTCTGGTATAATATAAAACATCTTTAGATGTAAAATTCTTTAGGTCCAAAGTTCAAGTATTGCAGTACTGGTAAAATTCACAATGTATACTTTTCCAGCGTATGAACAGGTCCTTGTAGAAGGTACAGTAATAAAAATTAAACCTTGTTAACTTTTACCATTCCTTTTCAGAAAAAGTTTCTATTAACACTGGTTTTATTGCCCTATTATGTTTATAGATAAATATTACTGTATTTCCCTACCGAAACTATATAGCATGAAGGGAGATGCTGGGTAAGAAGCCACATTGAAAAGACAAAAATTACTTGAAAAGCAGACTTACCATTTGAAAGGTCACTTTTATGAAGACTTAGCTGCATAGAGCCTGGTCTTTAGGGCTGCAATGTCAAGCTGAAAAGATTCTGTTTCTCTCACCAATATTTCAACTCTGGAAACTGCAAGTTGGTAAACGTCCATGAAACTCTGAATCACAGCCTTTAAAAAGTAAAGCAAATCTTTAGTGCCAGACAAGCTATACTTAAATGCCAAGTAGTATACATCATTACAGAAGATCTAATTTTTATTAATTGGAAAAATCAAACAGAAGTCGTAAACCAGGCACTAAGGTTGCAAGTAGGACTTAACCAAAGGTCTAAAGTAATATTTTGTACTTCTTCAATAATCTGAAATATTGATAGCTTTGAGGAAAAGCAAATGACTGTGCATCCCAATTACAAAGTGAGCTATTTTCAAAAATGCAGTACTGCATTGAACAGTTGATACTATTTTTTATTTTATTTAACTACAAAACTCAGTGAACGTTCAATTTATGTTTATAAAGAATCACTACATTATTTTAGGTGATTTTTCATACTTTCAAAATGAGTCCTCCCACTTCATGTTAAGAAAATTAATTTGTCAGAAACAGAAGAAACACAGTAAAGCTACAGATCTCTGGAAGCAAATAATCTGATTACAGTATAGCTGGGAAAATATAATTGCTTTCATATACATAGTGTAAGAATGTCCCAGTCGTGTGATATCGATCAGACTGATAATAAAGTTAGCAGTACAAGAGAGAACAAATGATTTGACATTATTGGTAATTTTATATATTCTAAATAGTCTAACACTTTTGAGATTATTGGTCTTTACAACTGGTTAATCACATTTTGTAAGTTACAGTTTTCCCTTTTGAGCCATAGCAAGTTGCAACTGTAAGAACATATAACAGATAAAATAAAATTGGCCTTCTGAATATGTCTGTAGTACAGACCTTATAAACTATAGTAACACAAACAGACATTCACTAAGGTTTTAACTGTTTTCCTTTCTTTGTTCTCAAACACACTGCTGCTTTTCAGAATAAAGGTAACCACTGAAATCAGTCAGGTTATTTTATTGTGAAGTGTAGAGAACTGCCATGGCAAGTCAACATCAACATCTCTTTTCTTATCAGAAAAAATACCCAAAATGTGTTAAGTAGTATGGTTCTAACCCTGATAGTGTATTCACATAGCTCTGTAAGCCTGCAACTGTCAGCTCTAAAGCTCTAATCCTGCTTTTAATTTTTTTTTTTTGCCTTTTTTTTTTTTTTTTTTTTTTTTAATTTCACAACTAAAATGCTGCATCTATTCAGAAACAATACCAAGGAGAAATGGGGATATATCTCACTCCACATAATACTGCCTGAGAATCTTCAAATGGCAACAGCCCACATAGTAAAAATCAGACTTATTGAAATAGGACAATTACTTGGGCATGTGACCCATAAACAAGGATTATACCACTGCATAACAAGCTGTGTCTCAAATCTCATAGAAAGAATTTCATATGTTCCCTTCACACATGATATTTAAAGGTTTCACTGAACTAGAATATAGAGACATTTCCTTAACTTCGTACTTTGACCTCTGCTACTACAAAGCTCATGAAGCCACTAACCTATACAGCTTCATCCTACATCTCCACAGGTACTCTAAGACCATGCAGTTATCTGAAACAGCATTTTTTAATTCCTTGCTGATCTACACAGGTATGTAATTTGTTCCGTCATTTAAAGAATTTGAAAATTTTAAATCTAGGAAAAAATGTTTTCACAAACTTATTTTCACACACAGCAATTTTTTTTAATAACTTACATTTCTTTTTAGTCCAGAAGAAAGTAGTTTTGCAGTTACTAATGGTTCCTTATGAATCTGTAAGGTGGCATTTATGCACCCATATGTACACATTCCTTCCAGTATATTCCAACTCCCTAGCAAAGAGGGCCTTTCATGCTCAGGAACAGCTTAGGACAAACACTATTTTTGGGTCTCCCAGGGGTGGCATGAGCATGAAGAGTATTCTAAATGCCATCTGGAGAAGGGCAAATATATTGGTTTTCAGATGTGCCACTGGAAGGCACAAATGATTTTAAGAAACTTATGTCAGTCACAGATTTACAGATCTGTCTTCAACAATAGAAAAGTTACACTTACTGGAAAGCCTGATACACAAGGAATGGGCATAGAACCTGGCCACATGGAAGTTATAATATCTGTCACCTAATAATTGAATGTACCTGTATAGGAGTTCAGAACTTCAAATGAGAACCCTATTTGAACTTTACAGATATAAATATATCTGCCACTCTGGAAACTGTTCTGTTGATCAAGAAAGGAAGATGACAGAATTTGCCAGAATGCAAATCTGGCTCTGCAGAAATTTCTTCCACTCTTGCTAACAAGTGCTTTCTCTTGTTTTTAAGTAAACATAGCAGTAAGATGTATATATAGTTTTTAAGTATACATAACAATAACACGTTTCAGTAGCACTCCTGATTAATTTTTATAACGTAAAATTTGGCATTTATACACATCTGCATGGTCTGCATCTAAGCAAACACTTCTCGTTTTGGATATGCTGGTAATACTGTGACATTAAAACTGAGAACAGACCATAACACCATACAAAATTGTCTTCAGTTACACACAAAATGTTTCAAGAACACACATCAGAAAATGACTTCTGGTCAGAAAGGCAAGACATAGTGATCCCCAGACTTATAAGAACCAGTATTATTGCAACTCATTTCGAAAATCGAAAACATTTTTAGACAGATGAGTATTGTAGGAAAGTTAGTGGGGAGAAGATTTAATTAAGGAGGCCACAGAAACAGTGGAGTTGAATACTGAATTTAAACATTACTGACTCTAGGTGCTCCTCCCTGCTTGTGCAAGGGGCTTGGACCAGAGGACCATCAGAGGTCCCTTCCAATCTCAGCCTAATTCAGTGATTATTACAAAGTCATCCTAGAGATTGAACACAAATCCAGTGGTTGAAATTTACCTAGGATTGTCAATTTTATGAGTAAAATTGCATGCAATTGCTTCACAATAATAAAAAACAAAAAGAAGAAATAATAAGACGCTGAATTTTTTTTACAGCAATCTATTTCCTTTCTTTTCACTCCACTCAATGCTTTAATGTATAGAGGATGTCAATATTATTTATGATATCAACATCCTACATCACATGCTACTGATATGGCAGAAGCAAATGGTAGGAGTGCTTTTAATCTGAAAGTGCATATGAGAGGAGACCCATGCTACAGCACTAAGACAAGACACAAGCAGCTTAATGAAAACTTCAGATGCATGAATTCCCAGATAACTGGTTACAATTCACAAGATAAAAATATATTCTTACAGTTGGCATGGAAAAAGGATGTTTTTAGGCTGAAGTTGTTGGACTAAGAAGAAAATGAGCAAGAGTGCCCAAATTCTCTTTTCAAGTATAACTTTCAATGGACAGATGATTTTAAGCCTAAATACTTCTGACAATACCTTTTTTTACAGCTACTGAACGTATCTGTAAAACAGTATCCCTATTCAGAAAATCCCTAGGAGGAAGAGTCTTAGGAGTCCCTAAGACTTTAACCATCTTTGAGTGCAAAATCAAATTTAAAAAAAAAAAATCAGGTGTTACTCACATCATAAGGGAACTAAGTATTTTAAACTTTTGATCTTTACTCAATTAGAAAAAAGACCTCTGAAGATTTTGAGTGGAAGAAGGCCTTTATGACCTCTTCAGAGATGTCTCATTTGTAATATGAGGGTATGCATAAAAAGTTTTGGCTACAGGTCGGTGAAGATGAGAAACCAAAATCGAGAGAAAAATAAAATTAACTAAGTTGATGCTGCTTATAAACTACAAACCAGTGAACATCAGAGCAAAAGAGCAACATTTAAGCTATGCTTTCTTTCTCCATATTTATCTTTAAAAGGACTGAGAACACTTAAGCTTAGGACAGTTCTCCAGGGCACATGTAAATCCATTTTTTTGTAACATTCCATGCATGCACTTTTGAATAACCAGTCATTGTCTAGTTCTATAACTAGTAATTTTCAGGTGGATAGTGCTATAGATGTCATAAAGCTGCTTTTGCATGTATTGCTGCCTGTAAATCTACAAGACTGAAAGACTTCAATCTACAGCAGTACTTTATTTAAAGTGAAAAATAAATGAAAAATAAAATGAAAAATAAAGTGAAAAAATTTCACTTTATTTAAAGTAAAAAATAACTAATATGGACAAATTACATAACAATCTTCAAAAAATTAGAAACACAAAAAAAAAGCCAATCTTTTAAAAAAATTAATTTCTGAAATTCAAAGTTTATTCAAACTTTAGCTCTTCTCATTGAAGTTATAGTAGAAACATACAAGAAATACACAGATAGTATATGCAAATTAGCAGAAGACCTCTCATCAAAGTGTTAATGTATTTACCATACATTATAAAACAGGCCTTTTAAATTCCCTCTTAAAACACTATACATGTTGTCTCCCTTGTGCTTAGTGTTTGGCCATTGAGAACAGAGTTAAAAAAATTATTTGGATTATGAGTTACAAACTGTAGTGAATGAAAATTTGTATATAAAGTTTTACACTATTCTAAAGTTACAAATAAAATACCAAATTATTAAAAATCAGTTTCTTTACTTTCATATAAATGCTATTACATTATATCAGGACTTACTTGGCATGCTGTTATCATAGAATGCATCTCATGTTCAGAAGAAATAAACCTAAAGGAAGGTTTATTATGTTGAAATGATGCTTATTAAAAGATACCAAAAAGACTAACAACCTGACAAAATAAGTATTGACTTTGTAACATCAGATGGAGCAGTCAGAAAAACAAGACCATCTACTTTATACAACATACTTTAAAAACCAGAGATGTACAGAAAAGTTGGAATTCATGTTTGACTGCTTGGTTCTTCCTTCAGGAATTCTTCAACTAAACACATTGTTAGCACGTAGCAAATTACCTCAGGACTATGTATACAAAAAAGATAAAAAAGAACAAGAGAAGGAATAATGAATGAACTTCAGAAGAATGAAAGATTAACAGTGGTTAACTAAATTAACAAACTGCTTACACGAGAATCTAAAAAGACTGAGAAGTTCATTCCTGGTACAGAGTTTGGCTGAAATGGAATTCAGGCA